TTTCTTTCTTTCTTTCTTTCTTTCTTTCTTTCTTTCTTTCTTTCTTTCTTCCTTCCTTCCTTCCTTCCTTCCTTCCTTCCTTTCTTTCTTTCTTTCTTTCTCTTTCTCTCTCTTTCTTTTTCTTTCTTCTTTCTTCCTTTCTTCCTTCCTTCTTTCTCTCCCCCCCCGCCCCCCGAAAACAAAAACATGGCTTTGGAATTCAACCCCTCAGCAAGTTCTGTTTACCTGCTAAGCTGTCTCCCTGGCCCCGCTGCCATTTTTCCAACGTAAGACTTTATATATAAATGTCCATACATCTCTGTATTTTATAATTTTCTTATTTTCAGCCCAGGGTTCTGGCATGGTGGGCAAGCGGCCCACCATTGAGACACACTCCCAGCCCTTAGGTTCTTTTAAATGACAGTCAGGCAAGTCTGGCCTCCAGAGGAGACAGGACAAAACGAAGAGTACACCCAGTTTTGGGGGGCAGCAAGATGACTCAGTGGTTGAAGGGGCTTGTGGCCAAGCTTGATAACTTGAGTTTGATCCCTGGGAGCACACAGTTGAAGGACAGAATTCACTTCTGCAAGCTGTCCTTTGATTCTAGACATGCGCATAACACCAGTATCCTCACACACCTAGTTACACATAGACACAGAATCTGTCTCTCTTTCTCTGTCTGTCTCTCTGTCTTTCTTTCTTTCATCTGTCTGTCTGTCTGTCTCTCTCTCTCACATACACACATACACACACAAAGAGGAAAAAGCCAATTTAAACAAAGTTTATTTTTTTGACAATAGCAGATTATGACTTATTTGGTTTATGACCATACGAAAGCAATCCCTACCCAACAGAAACGTATTCATCATTTTAATTGTGATCCTTTCCTGAGCTAGCAGTATGCAGCACAATCCCTGCTTGCAATGCTAGGAAGCACTAGTGAGACGCGACTCCCTGTCAACCTCATAATCACCAGGGGAAAGGGTATGTATGCAGTTGCCAAGCCAGGATGGCTGGAAGGTTGGGTGTACTAAATACATTTTCAACTTAGGCATCTTTTAACTCCACCCTAAGCCAAGGCACATCCGTACTTACATGTCCTAGACACAAGAGACATGCTCTTCCACAAAGGACCATATGGAAAGACACCAGGATGGTCAGGAAGCAGAATGCAGAGGTGAAGCTAAGTCTGAAGATTAAAGCCTTCGTGAGGGCTTCTAAAAAGAGGCAGAACAGGTGTGCAGCTCAGGACTGCCTGTTTGTAATCATTCTCCAGACTTCAGGAAATAGCGGTGCTTCCCACTTGCTTTTCCCATGGCTCTTGGATGGATAAGGCAGATACATTCAATCTGGGTCATTGAGACCAGATAGAGTGAATATAGGCTCTAAACTGTTAGTTTGCATATGAAAGGCTCTGTTAGTCCATTTCCCATACCATGACAAGATAGCTGAGATCAACACCAACAATGAGCGAAGTTGACTTGTACTCCTAAGAAAATGACACCTGAAAATAGCTTTCTCTAAATCTGATCATTTTGGTAAGTGCTCAGTAATTTTCCAATTGATTTTTTTTTCTTGCAGATAGGCATCATTTGAAAGCAGTGTGAGAGTTTCTAACCTTAACTTCTTGATTTTACTTTTTTATTTATTTGACTAGAGAAATCCTTTTGTGTCTGTATCATTCTGTTTGAATTACTGCAATAAAATACCATAGATTGGGGCCTTTGACAGCAGAGATCCACATTTTCACAGCAGCATATGGCTGGTTCCCTTAGTAGCTTTGAAAGAGTCGGTGCCTGAGGGAACAAAATCCCCTCAGGCTGCGGCCCTTGCTGACAAAGCCATTGCTTAAGGGGCAGCCACTGTAGATAATAAAAAACAGTTAACAACAGCTGACTATAGATGGAAGGTCCAAGAATCAAGCAGTTGTTCAGTCCATGAAGTCTGAGGTCTCAGCTGGTCTCCAGTTCTGGATTAGAAGTGGGTCTTCCCCCTTGGCATGATTTAATTTAAAAAAAAGATCCCTCAAAGGTGGGCCCAATCTGTAATGAGATCTGGCGCCCTCTTCTGGCCTGCTGTCATATATGCTGTATACATAATAAATCTTAAAAAAAAAAAAAAAAAGAATAGCCATCACACATCCCTACCTTCTTACCACCCAAACTTTGTGTTTGGATTATTTTTTTTCTTTTTTTATTAAAAATTTTTCTATTTATTTTACATACCAACCACAGATCCCCTCTCCTCCCTTCTCCCACCCCTCAGCCTTCCTCCCCCATCCCAACCCTCATTCCCACCCCCTCCAAGGCAAGGCCTCCCATGGGGAGTCAGCAGAGCCTGGTACACTCAGTTGAGGCAGGTCCAAGCCCCTCCCCCTGGACCAAGGCTGTGTAAGGTGTTCCACCATAGGTAGGGGGCTCCAAAAGGCCCGCTCATGCCCTAGAGATGGATCCTGATCCCACTAACAGGGGGCCCCGGATTCTTTTAAAATAACCTACCCACTCTAATTTGTGCTTTTCACACACTCCAGGGTGTGGGGCCATCCCGGAGCTTGGTCAATCCATCAGGAGCTGAGTCCTTAAAAAATATTGACTGCTCCTCCTCCGGAAGCTGTCAACTCTCCCTGGCTCCTCCCTTCGAGGTGGGGCTTATGAGGTCGAATGCTGATTGGCTTGATCCTCCGCAGGCCCTATGCAGGCCACTACAGCTGGGGTGAGTTCATGAGAGAGGTGGTCCCACCATTCCAGAGGACACTTTTCAGTAGGCTCCTCCCAACCTCTGGCTCTTACCATCTTTCTCCCCTTTCTCTATGATTCCTCAACCTTGTGGGGAGAGTATGATATGGATGTCCCGTTTGTGCCCGAGAACTCCACAGATACTTATTCTCTGCACGTTGACCAGTTGTGAGTCTCTGCATTCACAGCTCTGTGAGCTGCGCTGATCAACATTGTCCCGAAAGAGTTCATTCATTTAAAATTTACTTGACTCGGGGAAATGATGTCCATGTTTAGAGCAATTTTTAAAATTTAGAAAATACATCCAAGAAAAACAAGTTAGCATATTTGAGATACACTGTAAGGCTTCGTTGACTATTAGTTATCTTGTGATCTTTAAAAGGGTAAAATTAATGATATACATAATGAAAAACCTCTAAATATGTATTGCCATGTTGTTATCCTTTTGACAAGGAATAGAAAACTTCATTCATTTACTTTCTGTCTCATAGAAGCCCCAAAGGGCTCCTTTTAGAAAAAGTAACTGGTCAATCCAAATCTCATTGTCTGTAGACACACAGACAGGCTCAGCTGCCCTTGGGGTCAGTTTCTCGCTTTGGCCCTCGGCAACTGAGTAACCTGTGGTGAATTCCTTAATGATTGCCAGATCTAGCTTCTTCATTCATAAAATTAGAATAGCATCAGTGTACTGTGTTTTCCCCCCCGATAATTATAAGCTAACCTACTTGAGATAATGAGAACAGATTCTAGCATGTAGAAGCTTAGCGCATGAAACCAATTCATTTTTGTTATTAATAAACAACCACAGTACCACATTTTTGAAGTTACTGACTTAATTTGAAATATTTAACTAGTCTGTGGAAATGAATCTGAGAAAGTCTTAAAGAGGTAAATTTCCAAACATGATTATTTATGTGCTTATTTAGTTTTGAGACAAGGTTTCACTGTGGCCCTGGCTGGTCTGGAATTCACAAGAGATCCACCTGTCTCTTTTCTCCCAAGTGCTGATATTAAAGGGGTGCTCCATCACACCTGCCTGAGTCTGTAGAAAATGATATTTTGGTTGATGAGTTACTTTTTAAGAAATTATTTTCTTTTTTGAAATCATAATACAATTGCACCATTTCCCTTTTACATTTCCTCCCTCCAAGCTTTCCCACTCACCCCTCCAAGCCCTCTTTCAAATTTTCAAATTCATGGTCTCTTCCTTCATTAATCATTTATACATACATACACATAAGGAAAACCTTCTCAGTCCATATGTTCTTTGTGCGTATGTTTTCAGGGCTAAGCATTTAATACTGAATAACCAGTTGGAGTACTCTTTCCTGGGTAAGACTATTTCTCCCACTCTTGGCCTTCCTTAGTTGCCAATAAGATCCCTGTGTAGGGCTGAGGACTCTGTGAGCTTTCCCCATACATCTTAGCGTATCTATCGGCATCATCTTTGTTCGGTTCATGTTTAGGCAGACATATTGGTTAATTACTTTTTTCTGTAAAAGAGCTCCCTATGGATTAGACATGGAATAGAAAAGAAGGTGAAATAATGAAATCTTCTAATTGAACGTTGGCTTCCTGTAATGTTTATCCAGTCCAGGACTTCAGGATCTGTTCTTAGATGCACCAAAGACTACTAGACAACCTTTGTTATTAAGAGAAGAGAAATGGTTTCTTAGGAAGCACGGCTTCATCATGCAGGAGTTTATGATTTGTGTCCAGCTCGATGATTTAGAAAGGAAGAGGACCAGGCCTTTCCTGAGTCAGAAGTTTTCCTCAAACCATTACAAAATAACAATTATGACTCCCCACTTCTTATTTTTATTGCTGGCTTGAAAAAGATGACTCTACAATGCTTACACCAGGAGGAGATTATTCTACAAATAAGGGCCCAGCATGACATTTATGAGAAAGCCAGGGTCCTCCTGCGCGAAGCTGATTGGTGCTCAGCCAATGGGCTCTAGGATGTTCCAATAAAAGCTGCTTACTGCCCTGGGCTGGACAGATGCAGGGCAGGGGGTCAGCTCTGCCTCTGGACCCTGGGGAAATGCCCACCGCCTCTCTGAACAGCACACATCTGTGGCCTGCAAAGAGAAGTCAGACCTTGAAGATGAAACATCTGCTTCCCCAGTTCCCTTCCATCCTGGCTATCTACTGCTTCTGCATGCTGCAGATTCCCTCCCCAGGTAAGGAGATTGCCATCACATCTGCCTGCCCTGAGTTCTATGGAAGACTGAGAGATCTTTACCCCTCAGGGTCATTCTCAACAGAGTTGAGCTTCCTCCCGTCACCTACCCTCACATCCACCCTCTCGTTTTCAGGTGTGGCGCTTGTGTCTAACCAGAATGATGGACACAGTGAGACGCCACAGCCTTTTGCACAGAGACTTTCTCCAGAGATACTGGGATTAAACAGCCCTTGCCCCAGGGAGTGTCTTGACTTTGTGGTGGTGAAATCGAAGGGTATGGTGTGAGTTGGGGGAAAACCCTGCTTAGTGGTCTGTTTCAGAGAGGCTGGAGATGAGAACACAGGGAGGAAAGCAAGGCTTACAGTCCCCCCAAACTGAAAGCTGATGAGCAGCTGAAAAGAGCAGAGAGCAACTATGTAGACGAACGAAATTGTATGGAGTGAGGGGTAGGGGATGGGAGTAGGTTCTCAGAGAGTTCTGGGGAACCTGAAGGTCCTCCAGTCCAGCATCCTCCAGTCCCTCAGGCGCTGTCCGCGGTGCTGACCGGGTGCTGTATCTCTTCAATTTCTGAGACGCAGTTTGTAAGGGAGCTAGAAGTGGGAAGGGGGTCTGAAGTCCTCAGCCACGATCAGATCACCATCTCCAGGCAGTTTGTCATAGAGTGCAGGAAAGTGGGCCACTGATGAAAATCTGTGATTTGAAACAAGGACTATTACAAAAATGTGGACTTTTCCATTAGAATTAAATTTGATTTACAGGCATAGAGAACCTTGGGAAAATATAGTGCGCTTGTTTTGTCCTCAACAGTAATGGCAACATCTGGGCATTGTGAGGAAGGATATCAGCTTAACATCTCCAGAGTGCCGGGTCTCCTCTGTGGCTTCCCAGTGGGATTCTAGATTCTGCTCGGCAGCTCTGTCTAACCCCAGCACACAGCCAGCCCCGGACAGCTCACAGCCAGCCCCGGACAAGCAGCTGTTGTCCCTCTGGCCTCCAATAGAATCTTGTTCATAGCTTACTTTGGAAAATTTGGCTTGTAATTTGATTGTTTGCCCATTTATATATACCCCTCTATTTTTCCTGTTTGATTTTGTTTGCCGAAGGTAGAGTCCTATGGTCTTCATTTTTGTATTCACACAGACCTCTCAATAAGACCTGGTAGGATTGTTTTGCAGAACTGCATTGTTAAATGATCACAATTATCAAAAATATCTTTACATTAACCTGCGACCTGATCCCGTCTGACTTCCAATCATGGATTTTTGTTAGGGTCTGTGGGGGTATTCAGGTTTAGATGAAGATTTCTTGCTTGTGACAGTTCTCAAAATAATTGAAGGGACTTATAACATCTTAATTTTAGTCTTTCTAGAGAAAACCATACGTACCTTTAACTCTACATTACCTTCTATCATTTCAAGTCAGGTTATTACTCTTCAAGGCTTGAACACCATTGTTTGAATATACAGAAGTATTACCTTAGCTTTCTGTTGTCTCAGACTTCAGGGAACAAATAATCCACACTATATATACACATGTATGTATACACAAGTATGTGGGTACATATGTGTGTGCATGTATGAATACATGTATGTATATTTGTTGTCGCTAGAATAAACTTCTCTTGAGCCATATACCCCCTGTCCCACATCGTAAAATATCCAAATTCAGGACATTCTATGTACTTATTTAATCTTATTTTGTTAGTGCTGACCTACCCTCATGACTCCTACCTGCTGTATAAACCTCTGAGTGTAATATCACGTGTAAATGAGAAGATGTGTTCATCAAAGTCAAAGGGGGGCTAGGAGGATCCAGTTATATGCTAGTAGCAACTCTCCCCAGAAATCTACCCGTGGAGGGGTTGATGGAGTGGAGACAGGTACCTGCATGTCTTCAAAGTCCCGATTAGATGCACATACTTTGTTAATATTACTTTCTGATATTTGATCCTCACATATTCCACAAAAATATAAACTTATTTGCTCCCAAGTATTTTCTCTGTCTTTCTTGATTTGCTAACAGATGGACTAGAAACTCCCATTATGTTGAACACATGCGGTTTTAAAATTATGTTGGTACACATCTTGGATTTGATAGTTTTAGGTAGAAGTGTCTTATCTTTTCAAGTCTTCTTAATTGTGCCTTCTGTTACTTTTCTTAACCGCTACCTTCTCAATGACTTCTTTTGCTCATCTCTATGATGGATTCTATTAAGACCTCTGTATGTTTTTTTATGGCATGGGTGCAGAAGCAAATGATATGACGTCTTTCTGGAATTGATGTTTTGATTATCTTTTGTTATAGGAGTTTCTCAACCCTTAGCTGATTCTCCAGATGGCTTAGATGTTGTGGAGCTTGAGGTATGCTATTATGCAGCCTTGTGAGATTTGTATTTAGTCCCAGCCCTGAAAATATCATGTGGTTAATGTTCACTTTTAAAACTATTTTAAGATCAGATATTTGGCTGCAGCAGAAACTCACTGTGATTGCTGCATGGCCTCATTTAAGACATCCTGAGAGTTGGATTGAAATTCACTGCATTGTGTAAGGAGATAATTCGAGGTTCATAAATGGAACAATTTTAGAATTTTAAACATGCTCTAAGAGAGTCTACTGGCTAAAGAATTTATTCTTGTGTTTTATTTCTTTCCCTCATTTTGTCTTTTAGCGACTGGTATACTGTCTGAACCAGTGGGAAACACTTTCTAGCCAACCTAAGGTAAAAATGCATATACTAGCTCTTGTAGTTATATCAGTATATATGTTTACATAACTGATGCTGAATAAATGGTTCTTTTGATGTCTACTAGAGAATGGTGTATATATGTGTATGTGTGTGTATAAAAATACAGTTCTGGGAAAAATCAAGTTTCTCTCTTTGATATGAATTACCACAAAACAGTACTTCTGTGTATTCTTAAGATTATATTATCTATATAATAAAATTAGTTATATGCCATGACATATATTATATGTTATACACTGATACATTATGGTGTTAACAGCTCTCAACACAGTAGATCTCATGTAAAGGACCATACCAGCAGTAACTATAGTAACTACAACAAAAGTGATTCAGTGGATACAAAGTCAATGCTGATTAATTGAAAATTGAAAGTGTGATCTTAGGATAGTTCACGATTCTCAGCACAGCCTATCAGTTTTCACCTTGAGTAACATTTCTTCTTCTCCACTCACTTCCCCCACCCACAGCATCATGCAGACCAGCCACATCCAACATCTCACCATTGCCCAAATACAGCAGACCCTTGAAATCTTTATACAGCCTTCTCTTTAGCCAGAAATGTCTCTGCTTTCCTCAGAGCCTATCGTGACAGCCCAGGATCTCAACTGGAGCTGTCTCTGTGCCTTAGTTGGCTTGTCTGTTCCATGTGTGGAGTTGCTGTAACGGCTCCAGTCTTCCTGAGGAATGGATGCTCTAACTTCCATAAAGTGCTCTCAACAGCACCCACCGCACAGCAAACGGCAGCCCCTAGCTGCGTCTTGTTGCAGCTACGTTTCATTCACAATCCGAGTACCACCTTCTCTCTCAAACTTCATGAAGATACAGTAGTACTTGCATCTTGTTTTCAGTTTACCACTATGCGCATGTCTGGAGATGATCGTTAAACCATCTTTATAGTCTTAGTGCCTGGATGAAGCCTCAAAACAAGAGCTTGGAGCCTCAAAACGAGAACCTGGAGTCCCCCAACTCTTTTCCACTGCATCCTTACCTTGCACCACAGTGGCTTCCCTGCTTTTCACATGAAGGCTGTGGTGTCTCCCACATGAGCAGAGACAGGAGAAGTGTGGCTGTCCCACTACCTGCTGCAGTATTCAATTGGATTGTGGGGTGTCCAGGCGCAAGGATCCAGCTGGAATGAATTTCCATTTACCCTTTTCATATCCCCAGAGCCTATCACACCCATTATTTTTGGTTGCAAACAAACAAAAGAGTTGTTCAATGCACAAAAATGCCAACACTTTGAAATTATGAATAGAGAGCTAGCGCCTTTTCCCGGCTTCCTTGTTGACCCCCCACTGTCCAGTGTTGGGATGATGTCCAGTGGAGCTCCCAATGCACTGCTTCCCTGTTCCCCACAAACCCAGTCTTTGTCTGCAGGAGACTTCTGTGTTCAAACAACTCAGGAAGTGGTGGTATTCGACAACCAATGTCCTCTGCAGAAACTCTTCAAGCACCGATTTTCTCTTTACCCCATGAGGTCAGAAGGAAGTCAGACAGGAAAAAGTTAACAGGTTCTGTGGATAGAGACCCATTAATTCCTTAGTTCAGGAGAGATGCTTGAGAACATGTCACTGCTAGGTACCAGGGATGGAGTAATGATGCACGCAAAACTATCTGCCCTCATAATGTGTGTAGTATAGTTTGGGAAAATGAATGAAATGTTACATGAGTAAAACTTGATACATGTTTTTCTATGAAAAGAGGAAGGTAAGAAGGATATGTATGAAATCTGGAGACGTTTGATTGGCAGCTGGAAAAGATTGAATAAACAACTGATTTTTATGAAACAGGGAAAGGTTTTCCTCCCTAAGATTGAAAGATAAGAGATAAGTTGTAAAAGGCAACTTTATCTTAAAAGCCTATGTCAACTGCAATCTTTTTTTTTTTTTTTTTTGAGACAGGGTTTTTCTCTGTAGCCCTGGTTGTTTCAGAACTCACTCTGTAGACTAGGCTGACCTAGAACCCACAAAGATCTGCCTCTGCTCCCTGAGTGCTGGGATTAAAGTCATACACTGCCATTTCCCATCTGTCAACTCCAATCTTGACTGTTTCATAATATTTGAGTAAATCCAGCCAGGTTCACAGTGTGACTTACACTGAAAACTTCATCAGATACCTGCTCCAGGAAAACTCCATGTAACTTTCTTCTCAATTCTCTTTCCAGAAAAACCAGGATATATACAAAAGGGTAAGTGCCTTGCAGTGCCTAATACAGACTCTGTACCATGTTTGGAGCAAGTGACACTTGGTGCTAATATCCCTTTCTTATTTATCTAGTTCTTATTTCACTACTCCAGAACACAGAAGCCAAGGCATCCAGTTAACCCTGAGGTCAGTATTTTATTATACCTTCTGTATAAATGATGCTCTTCTGCATACCTTTTATGCCTTCTGAATTTACATACACACACACAGCCAAGTATTAGGCAGGGAACTCTCAGATACCCATGAGTGACAGGTCCCTACACACATTCCCTCTCCCAGGATGGCAAGAATTGTCTTTCTCATCAGGGATGGGAGTGGCGGGTGACTGACAGATCTGAAATATTAGAGAATAAACTGCAGGAAAGAGAAATTAAGTAAGAAACCTGTTCTTGTTATCATGTACTTAAACAGAAGTGCAAGGAGAGCCTGTAAGCACTACACCCATTCCCACGGCTCCTTATTGCTTTCTACCTTTATATTTTGAAAAGTGCTGTGTGGTCCACACAGTGCTGTCTCCCCCAAGGTGACCCACGCATGTCATCTTCTGTGGCTGTCAGGGTGTAGATACACAGTGGGAATAACAACGATCACCTCTAACTTGTGTTTACAGCTCTGGGGCGCGAATTCCAGGCCTTGTGGAATTCTCTATCACTCTATCACTGAGCAACATCCTGACCCCCACTTTTTTTCCTTTTACATAAGTTCTTACTTTGTAGTCCGGGCTGGGCTTCCTCCTGCTTCTGCCGCTAAGATTACAGGTGGGTGCCATCACGCCCAGCTGACTTTCTTAAAACTCTTAGCGACCCTCGGGAGCAGCTTGGGTAGGTTAAATTCTGTAAGGTGGCCTTTGAGAAACACTGGGAAGGTCATAACATCTAGATTTTAGTTTGGGTGCACTGTCACAGCTACTGAAATTCTACTTCGGGAGAGCCACTTATTTATATACGCAGGGCTCCCCAAGTCTTCTTAAAGAATGTCAAATACGTCTAGGAATGGGATGAGATAAGGAGGGGCCAGCTACTGCCGAGCAAAAAGAAGCAAAGGAAAGGGAGAGACCTTGGTTGCTTCAAAAGAAAAGCACCAGGGGAACCATGGAGGCTAGGAAAGGACAGATGCCCTTGCCTGCAGCATGCAGCCAGGCGAAGCCCAGCGGTGTGGGCTCTGACGCTCACCACCCTGGTACCTCCTCCCCAGCACAGCACATCTGAAGAGAGAGGAAGGATCCGGGGCAGCAGCTGCTTTGAGGCCAGGACAGAGTGCGTAGGGTTAACGTCAGTAAGCGACCGATTTATCCTGAGGGAAGATTTCTAAGTGGTGTGTTGGAATTGAAACCTGTATCCAGGCAAGCAAGCTCTTTATTGGAAACATAAATGTTTTGAGCGTAGGCTCCGGAATTGATTTTACTCTGAAAATTAAACCCATTTGTAAGAAAGGCCAGTCAAAAAAGCATGCGCATAGATAGCCCTGGGCTCTCAAATATTCGGCTGGAGTCAACAAGGTTATACAGCTCCTCTCTGAGATGCCCCCGGCCTCACAGCGTTTCTCTATTACAGTTTGCACCCGTGCATCCCTTGATGCGCCTGGCTGCCAAGCTGGCCAGCAGAAGGATGAAAAGATGGCCGCCTCCAGTATGTGTTTGTTTCTTCCCGCCGTAGTACTATGGCTTAATGTGTACACGATGGAAAACGTGTTATATCACCTCGTGTGACTCATTTTTGTCCACTCTTTGAATCCCAGTCTCCAGTTTGGTGTGTGTGTGTTTCGAGGGGGTGGGGGGAGTTGTGGGCAGAAACACTGGTCCCTTACCCTTGACCTTCCGGTCTGTAACCCCGTGTTGTTGTGACTGGAAGGGCCAAGGGAGGGACCCCGTGGCCCCGTCCCATCCCATCCCATCCCTCTCTTCCTTTGCTTGGTTCACTCTAAGTTTTGTTTTGTTTTGTGTTGTTTTTCAATTCCGTCCTTTTGTCACATCGTGAAATTTGCTCTGGTGATAGTTCTCTGCTTCCTGTAGCTTTACCTGCCTGTTTTTAAGGATTTCCCCCCCTTAAGTTCAGTAAAGACAGTTTCCATAATAGCTGATCCCTTTCAAACTATTAATCAAAAAACTATTAATCACAAAGATCCGCCTGGCTCTGCCTCCCGAGTGCTGGGATTAAAGGCGTGAGCCACCACCGCCCGAGGCCAGCCTGGTCTACAGAGTGAGTTCCAGGAAAGGCATAAAGCTACACAGAGAAACCCTGTCTCGAAAAACAAATCAAAGAAAGAAACAAACAAAAAACCAAAAAAACTATTAATCAAGGTTTTGTGTGACAGCAAAAATAATTAATAAAGAAAAATTTCTTTTGGCTATCTTGAGCCCAGGTACAGTGGCCAGCATGTCCTGTTTTGTCTAGAACCTTCCTAGCTTTAGACCCAGGACTTCAGGGTCTTCAGGAAATTGCTCAGCCTCTAGAACACTGCCTGATCTCCCTGCTGTCTGAACACAGGCTTCCAGGTCCATTCTAACTCCATTCTTTTTTGGGGGGAGGGGGTCTCAAGACAGGGTTTCTCTGTGTAGCTTTGGAGCCTGTCCTGGATCTCGCTCTATAGACCAGGCTGGCCTCGAACTCACAGAGATCTGTCTGGCTTTGCCTCCTAAGTGCTGGGATTAAAGGCGTGTGCCACTGCCGCCCAGCTCTAACTCCATTCTCAAACCAAGTTATAGCTGAAAATGAGTGGAGGATGCTAAGATCTCCTGACATTGAAAGTTTGTTTGAATCAGAAGTACATTTCGCAGCTGGGTTTATTCAGAGTTGGACACAAATTAAACATATTTGGACCCCAAACTGCAACACTGATTGAGCGAGCACTGACTGAGTGAGCAAGCTTTCCTTCCAGAACTTGCAACTGGCCCCACTGTCAGATTCTCCTCAACTGCTTTTTTGCATCTGTCTTCTGATGAGCTTAGAATGGAACCAGGAAGGGACACCATCACACGAGAGCAGCTGTGAGGTCATGGGTGCAGTTCCTGTTGAATTAATTTATACTCTGTTCCTTTCCAGGACTCCAGGACTGCTGCTGTGGACTTTCCTAAGAAGGCATGTGAACCTTGTGAGAATACTGATTTCCAGAAAGCTCTAGAAAGAAGGACAGGGAAGTGCCTGGAACCTGCAACTTTCCCAGTCTTATTTGGATAGGATAGATCTTCCCCCCAGGGGATCCTGAATATCTTCTCTAAGCATTGAAGTTGGGGATCCCTGGGCTTATCCTGAGGTAGAAAGTGATTATGGAAAGATGGCGTTAATGTTTCACATGGTTAATATTTCATTTCTAGTCTCTCAGATGGGTCACTTCGGCCATCTGTGACTAGGGACTTGTCCTCTCTGGTTCAGGGACCCACATGCCATTACGCAAACTTGAGAGAGGAAAAATATTTCTGGCAGTGCCAACCCATAAACCAGGGAATCACAGACTAGAGCATGCCTTAGAATCTGGTTAAAATTGGGATAGCTGGGCTCTACCCTGAGATTTAATAGGTCTGAGGTGGACTTTGAGAATTTTCATTAATAACAAGTTCTCCAGATATCTTTATGCTGCTGGTCTGGGACCGTTCTTTTTGAAACCTTCTCCGAGGATGTTTCTTTGACTTAGAATGTGATTGCATAACAGTTTGTGTTTTTGTGTTACAGGATCCCACTACCACCTTGGGGAGGCCATTTTTCCTTTTCAGGGTATAACAGATTTCCTTGTTTCTGTTTCTAATTGTATTCCCTGTTGTTATCCCAACTGCCAGGACCAGATGGGCACTGTTCTCTCCTCCATTTAGGGTGTGACTCAGTCAAAAATTCTTACAGACTTGCAAGGGAACCAGAGCAACAAGACATAGCCTGAGCATGTCCATATTCTAGGAGCTTGGAGAGCAAGGGGGAGGGACTTCTGTTGATGGACAGATACTGGGTAAACCAGAGTCCACAATCCCAAGCACTACCTTCCAGGGTATGTGACCTAAAAACCACACTGACATGAGGAGTCCAAGTGCCATCTTCTTTCCCAGGTGACAGAAAGGTCCTTGCTAAGGTCATGCAGTTTCTAATTTTGTTCTATTCACTAACTGCACACAAGGCCTTAGCTTCTCAATATTTGCATAAAAAACCAGTGAGTCTGACTTAATCCATGACTACTACTCCAAGCTGTATTCTGTGGATTACTGGTGCTAGTATCCTGCAAAAGATAACACACGATTAGAAGATTTATCACTTAGTCTTCCTGAAATTCACAGCACGATCTGGCCCCCTGAGGGCTCTGGGAAATGTCATGGAAAATCCCACCTATGTCCTTGGTTTCCCTAACGTCTTTGACTATGGAAATCCTTATCACCTGCCCCAGTTTCTACATTTTTCATTTTCCTGACCTACAAAAAAGTGTTGTTTTCTGGAAAGAACTCTGAGAATCAGTAGATCACTCTTCTGTCTCCAGGCTGAGAAGTCTGGAAAGTAGAAGATCTCACCATGAGCTAAGTCTAAGGGAGAAGGTGGGATGGAGAATAGGTGTCATGTTCCTGGGAGTGGTAAGGGCCTAGATTATTGCCCAAGAGGACAGATGAACTTGCCATGTAGGTCTCTGAGGATGGGAATGAGGACTCAGAAAAACAAGGCCTTTGTGTCCAGTAGAGAAAAAAGTCCAAGTGGTTGTATCGCAATATTTGTAAGACTTTCTCCCTCGCCTTTCTTGTTTTTCAGCCAAGGAATGGAAGACACATTGACAATAAGGTCCAGTAGACAAAGCAAGGTTAGCTTCATTGCAGATTTTCTCTTCCAAGCAAATGTGCTATGTCTGACCTGAAGTTATTAGAGGCAGAAGGTAGGGTGCTATTGTTCAAACAAAAGACTCCCCCCTCCACAGCACCGTAGACCCCCAATCCAATCTGGCAGAAGCTAGCTGTTCCAGCAATGTTACATCCTTTGCTTTCACATATGGTTTTGAGAAGTTTCTCATTTCTGAACAGAGTTGTGATAGACATTAAACCTCCTATGGCCTGAGTTGCCCCTCCCCACTTGACCCTTCCAGTGAAGAGAATACTACCCCGATATGTTGAGGTGGTACTCCAAGGAGGCCCTCAGACAAGAAAGTCCATGCAGAGGGGCAACTCTAGCCTGCTCCATCTCTCCTGAGGATCTGGGAGGTATAAACATTATCTATTGCCAGCATCAGAGCCCTAGCAGTCCAAGGTGCCTAAGGAAACTGCCATCATCCTGGGAGATGGAACTATCCAGCAAAAACAGGAGAAAAGTGTTGCTCAAGGCCAAACAATTTATATAAATCCAATAGCCTAATTAGACACCAAAAATAAATACCATGAGGACCAACCGAAAGGAAAACAATGTAGGCATTTGTGACATGTCATATCACTGTGTAACTGTAAAATGTGTCTATCATAACTTGCATGTGGCCCTCAACTTGATCCTGAGGATGGCTGCAGTTACACTGAACACATTTTTTGTTTTGCAGGATCCAATTGAACAGGAGAGTTTGGATCTGTGGAGGAAATGCCAAGTTGCTTTATGTGTATATTTAACAATATTTCTGTTGTTCGATGCTCTCCAAAATACATTGTATAAAAAAAATAAAGCCTCACTATACAACATCTTTATTTTTTGTTGGAAGGCTGTGGGAATAGGTACATTGCATGAATGATAAATTTCTAAGGAATTACTGACTTGGGGGTGAAGCAAGCTAACTTGATAACTTAGGATAACTAAGATCCTGGCGTCAGATCCTAACTCTGTTTGCTTTCTAGCTGGGTGACTCTGATATGCTAGTCAGATTTCCACTTCTGTAATAAACACCTGATGTATATTACTTCAAAGGAGAGAAGATTTGTTTGGGGTCATGGCTTCCTTCCACGTGGCCTTCTTGGCCCGTTGCCTTGGTTCTGTGGCTTCAAAGTACGTCATGGTGAAATACGTGACAGAGAAGGGTTATTTGCCTGCCTCGTGGCAGATGGGAATCAAGAAGAGGGCGGGGACGGGGTCCCAATGACTCCTTAGAGGGCAGGGCTTCAATGATCTAAGTTCCTCCCACTAGGTTCCACTTCTAAAGCTCCCACTATTTCCTTGGGGTTCCACAGACTAGTGACCAAGTCTTTAACTCAGAAATCTTTGGATGGGAATATTCCAGAGACAAACTGTAGCACTTGGGTCACTCACTTTCATTCCTGTGCCTTGGTTTCCTGCTTGGTAAAGTAGGATTTGTAAAATACCGTCTTCTTGAGATGATTTTGTGAGAGCTTAAGAGATGATCCATAGAAGGTCGTGGAATTGTCATTGTGTATGTGTTGGCTCTATTTTTCCTTGATAGATGATCTTCATTCCATGGTATATACAAGGCACTTGTCCCATACACAGCCACTTCCCTGTTGTTGACATCAAGATGTTAAGGAACAACAACTCCAGATTGCTCGAGAACTATGGGACTTAGGCCTTTATTTCTCAGGCTCCTTCTCTGTGAACATCCCAGAGACCATCAAGCATAGCGTAGGATGGTGCAGGAGAGGTGTGGGCAGCATGAAGGGCCTCTGTGATACTGACCACCTTCTTTTAGCTTCTCCTGCTCCTCTTCAAACATTAAAGTCTTCCTTTGGAATGTCTTAGAATTATGACTTTATTCTTAGCATGTCTAGGCCTTTGTTCTAAGTCTGAGGTCTACTTTCTGAAATAGGGTATTTGAAGACTCTGCCTAGTAGATCTCAAGACATGAAATGGCATGATAGGAAGAGATGAGCATATCAACCTTCACTTGATATCTGCCAGTGAGGGTGCAAAGCCATGTTCATGAGGTGTACCATTTGAGCTGAAATTTCTCTCGCCAAGCCCTCTCCGGTGATGCAAAGTAAGAATGGACTTTGCCTCCTTTTGTCCACAGCAGCCCAGAAAGGATCCACCAGTTTCTGACCACCACCAAAAAAAACAACAAACAACAAACAAACAAACAAAACAGGATTGAAACTAGACCAATCAGCAGTTTCTGTACCATGGAACTGCTTCTCTCCAAAGAGAGACCTTTGACCTCTGCACGTGCCCCTTCTAACTAGTTTGAGTGCTACACCCAGATCAAGTCGCGCATTGAGAATGTCCATCTACTCAGCACTGACATCCATCATACCTCAGCTCATTGCGTGGGGCCACTGTAGCCCTCCACTAATGGGAGTGTGTCCAGCCAGGGGAGGATGATAAATAGGTTCTTAGAACCTTGCAGCAGGCAGAGGATTCATTGCTCATCCAACTCTGCCTTCTCACAGGCTGCTAAAGGAGAGTCGAGAAAGGCCAAATGATTGGTCAAGGCCTCAACAGTGGATGGCAGCATGTCTAGAGCAGAAGTCTTGGTATCAAGCTGAATTGATTATTCTGATGTTCTTACCTTCAGTTAGATTCTTGGGACTTTTGTAATGAGTCCACAAAACTTGGAGGCTCCAAACAGTATTTATTCTTGTTTGTAAAAAGTTTATTTTATGTGTATGTGCATTACATGCATGCCTGGTGCCTGTGGAGGTCAAAAGAAGCTATCGAATCTCATAAGACTGGAGTTACAGATGCTCCTTAGCTGCCATGTGAGTATTGGGAAGCAAACCTCCCAGAGCAGTAAGCACTCTTAACTACTGATGCATTTCACTAGCTGCTAGATTTGTTCTTTTATTATAACAGGTACTTAGAAGTTGCTTTGCTAAAAGCACTGACTCCCCTCTTGGGCCCACAAGATAACTGAAAGCACCCCTGCTTTCATTTTGCATCTATCTCTTTGAGCACAGATATGATGGTTATTCAAGGAAGACTACAGGGGCTGCAGATGTATATACGCCCCGCACCTGAGAAGCAAGAGTCAGAGGATCAGGGATTCAAAGTCATCCTTGGTTATAAAGTGAGCTCAAGACTGGACTGCGTGAGATCCTGTTTCAAAAACAACACAAACTTGTGAGGCAGAGGCAGATAGATCTCTGGAAGTTAGAGGACAGCTTTGTGTAGCTAGCAAGTTCCAGGACAACCAGAGCTACATAATCAAGAGACCCTGTCTCAAAAAACAAAACAAATCAAAACAGCAACAGCAAAACCCCAAACAATCAAAAATCATTTAAGAAGTGTCTATCTAAAAAACTATACTGACACCTTACCTATCTCATTCCTCTTCAAACCTCAAGGCTGAAAGCCCAAACATAAGTGTAGCAGCATCTACAATGTCTTGTTTCAGAATCCCCAGAAGGTATCCAAGGTTACCAGTTGTCTTAGTTACCTTTATGTTGCGGTGACCAAACACCACAATGAAAGAAAGTTACAAAAGAAAGCATTTCATCGGGGCTCACAGTTTCAGAGGATTGGAGTCCGTGACTATCTTGGCAGGGAGGATGGCAACAGGTAGGCAGGTAGGCATGGTGCTGGAGCCTTAGCTGAGAGTTCACATCTTGATCCACAAGCATGAGACAGAGAGACCTAACTGAGAATTATGGAATCTCAAAGCCCACCTCCAGTAACACACCTCCTCTAATAAGGGTACACCTCCTAATCCTTCTTAAATAGTTCAACCAACTTGGGATCACACATTCAAAACACATGAGCCTGTAGGGACCATTCTCATTCAAACAATCATACCAGTAATTGCCCTAAACCTGCAAGTCA